TGTTAAAATTATCTCCTTATTATTTTTTTTTTTGCCAAAGTGCAATATTTTAGTTTTAATATAACAGACTGTGCTGTATTTTGTTGTGGTGTGCATTTGTTTCTTCTTGATTTGTCTGCATTTTCCAAATAGTGCTGTTTTTAATATGTTTGGAGTTGATTTTTTCCCTTTTTTGCTCTTTTGTTCATTAAGAGATCCATAGTGTATTCATGCACAATGCCTTTGGAAGTATTTGATGGATGCAATAAATCTTTGTAAAACACGTTTCTCGTGCAAGCATTTAATTTGCAGAAATATACAACACAATTTTGACTAAACTATATTTTCATTTGTGTTCGTACTGAGAATTTGCTCACGAAATGCGCAGCTTATCCTTTCTGCTGTCTCCTAGCGTTAAGATGGAAATGTGTTAATTGTGGTACATGAGTTAAAAAGTAGTGCTGCTGAACTTGTTGACCCAAAAGGTCGGTGGTTCGAATCCGAGGAGCAGGGCGAGCTCCTGCTGTCAGCCCCAGCTTTATTTATTTACTTATTTCGGACATTTCTACCCCGCCCTTCTCACCCCTTAGGAGAAACTCAAGATGAACAAAATCTGGCGACCAGTATTAAAAAACTCAAAAATTACAACAGCAAAACAACAGAGAGTAAACAATCAGGCACATCAATTCACTCTCAACAAGAGATTCCCCCCAGGCACTTCCAGGCCATTGAATGCAAATCAAGGTGATCAGCTGAAACATTACCCTGGTCATTCCACAGATATATAAACCCATTTTTCCTACTTCCAACAGACCTCACTCCCTCTGAGGATGCTTGCCATAGATGCAGGCGAAACGTCAGGAGAAAAATTGCCTCCAGAACATGGCCATATAGCCCGGAAAAACCTACAACAACGCAATAACACAATAGTTAAAAACATACAATTAATACAAAATCAACTAAAACCGCTCTATAGCCCGCGTTCATCGAGTTCTAAAATCCGTCAATCCATTTAGCATTACCATAGTCCTTTCCAACTCTAGTCATCATTACCTTTTTGATCTGCCAGATTACCCAAATCATTACCTTTTTGATCTGCCAGATTACCCAAATGCCTGGTCCCATATCCATGTCTTCAGCTTCCTTCAGGATGTTGACAACCTGATTTCTCCGGGGAGTGAATTCTACAGGCGAGGGGCCACCACTGAGAAGGCCCTGTCCCTCGTCCCCACCTGTCTCACTTGTGATAAAGGTGGGGCCGAGAGCAGGGCCTCCCCAGAAGCTTCTGCCAACCTAGAAGTTTGAAAACATGCAAATGAGAGTAGATCATTACGTAGCGCTCCAGCGGGAAGGTAACGGCGCTCCATGCAGTCATGCCGGCCACATGACCTTGGAGGTGTCTACGGACAGTGCTGGTTCTTCGGCTTAGAAATGGAGATGAGCACCACCCCGCAGAGTCAGACACGACTGGACTTAATGTCAGAGGGAAACCTTTACCTTTACCTTTTAGTGCAGGGGTCCTCAAACTAAGGCCCGGGGGGCAGATGCGGCCCTCCAAGTTCATTTACCCGGCCCTTGCTCAGGGTCAACCTAAGTCTGAAACAACTTTGAAAGCACACAACAACAACAACAATCCTATCTCATCAGCCAAAAGCAGGTCCAGTGTGCAAAGAAATTAATTCATTTTTTTCAAGTTGTACTCCGGCCTTCCAACAGTTTGAGGGACTGTGACCTGGCCCTCTGTTTAAAAAGTTTTTTAGAGTAGGGACCGCCAAACGCAACGCCCAAACACGAATCAAGGAACATGAAAGGCACTGCAGACTACTCCAACCAGAGAAGTCAGCCATAGCAGAGCACCTGAGGAACCAACCTGGACACGGCATATTATTTGAGACCACAGAAATGGTGGACCACTCTCACAACCACCATGTCAGACTACAAAGAGAAGCCTTGAAATCCACAAGAAGCATGTGGACAATTTCAACAGAAAGGAGGAAACCATGAAAATGAACAAAAACTCTAAAATTAGAACAGCACAACAACAGAGAGTAAACAATCAGGCACATCAAATCACCTCTCAACAAAAGATTCCCCCCAGGCACTTCCAAGCCATTAAATGCTAATCAAGGTGGTCAGTTGAAACATTCACACCTAGCTCCAGCAGACAAGAGTCCTTTGTCCCACCCTGGTCATTCCACAGATATATAAACCCTTTTTCCCAATTCCAACAGACCTCACTACTTCTGAGGATGCTTGCCATAGAAGCAGGCAAAACGTCAGGAGAAAATGCCTCTAGACCATGGCCATATAGCCCGAAAAAACCTACAATAGCCCATTAACAGCCTTTTTTGTGTTTCTGTTTTACTTTGCCTCCTTTGGCCTGTTTCTCAGATTCAGTGCTAGTTTTGCAATAAGTAGATTATAGCTCGAGGTAAAGAAAAGCAGTAAAATATGCACAGGCTCAATTTTTTTGAGTCAAGAAAATGTGCATTTATTGGGAGGCATTTGCATTTACAGTCAGTTCATCATAGCCCTGTTTTCGTGGTCCGTACAATCCTCGCTGCAACTCACAGAACCACCAACCAAAGCATAACCCATCCAGGTTGCATGGTGACCCAGGACGTCATCAGGAATATTAGTTGTGGTGCAATTTGGCTGTTCTCAGGATCGGAATTGGTCGTTTTTGAGTTTCTAGAGCCAAAACATGACACTGTCCGTGGTCTTTTCTCAGCCCCCCATGACTTCTCCTCTGATTCTGGGTCCCATACTGGTACTCGCTGGCTGGCTTTATATTCTTCGAAATGCACAGCACATTTGCAGTCGATGGCTTGCAGATTGGCTCATCTGGTGTTGACTTGCAGCTGGCTAAATTCTTGAAGCAGAATGTCTTCCCCAAGCCTGGGAAGACGGAGGTCCATTCAACACAAGCGAATGACATTTCCATAAGGTTTTGGGTTGGTTTGAGGCCAGGAGAACTTCCTTTGTGGAGTACACTCAACTAGATCGCTGATGTATTGTCGAAGGCTCTCATGGCCGGAATCACCGGATTGTTGTAGGTTTTTTCGGGCTAGAAGGCCATTAGAGTACCACATCAGTCCTGATGATATCTATTAGGCATGAAACTAAAGTTCTGGTGGTGAAAATTTCAGAACTCTAACAAAACTCTCAAAATTTCATTATAAAAATGGCCAATGATGAAATAATAATTACATTTTGAAAGAGTTCTGGTGGTGAAAATTTCAGAACTCTAACAAAACTCTCAAAATTTCATTATAAAAATGGCCAATGATGAAATAATAATTACATTTTGAAAGAGTTCTGGTGGTGAAAATTTCAGAACTCTAACAAAACTCTCAAAATTTCATTATAAAAATGGCCAATGATGAAATTATAATTACATTTTGAAAGAGTTCTGTTGGTGAAAATTTCAGAACTCTAACAAAACTCTCAAAATTTCATTATAAAAATGGCCAATGATGAAATAATAATTACATTTTGAAAGAGTTCTGGTGGTGAAAATTTCAGAACTCTAACAAAACTCTCAAAATTTCATTATAAAAATGGCCAATGATGAAATTATAATTACATTTTGAAAGAGTTCTGGTGGTGAAAATTTCAGAACTCTAACAAAACTCTCAAAATTTCATTATAAAAATGGCCAATGATGAAATTATAATTACATTTTGAAAGAGTTCTGGTGGTGAAAATTTCAGAACTCTAACAAAACTCTCAAAATTTAATTATAAAAATGGCTAATGATGAAATAATAATTAAATTTTGAAAGAGTTCTGTAATTTTCACCACCAGAACTCTTTCAAAAGGATGCTTGCCATAGATGCAGGAGTTCTGGTGGTGAAAATTTCGGAACTCTAACAAAACTCTCAAAATTTAATTATAAAAATGGCTAATGATGAAATAATAATTAAATTTTGAAAGAGTTCTGTAATTTTCACCACCAGAGCTCCTCACAACCTCTGAGGATACTTGCCATAGATGCAGGCGAAACATCAGGAGAGAATGCCTCTAGAACATGGCCATATAGCCCGGAAAAACCTACAACAACCCAGAGTAATATATTAGGCCTGTTCAATGCATGGTTCTAAAGTACTTACAAAATAATTAAATTTTGAAAGTGTTCTGAAATTTTCACCACCAAAACTTTAGTTTTGTAAGTACTGTATATACTCGAGTATAAGCCTAGTTTTTCAGTCCTTTTTTTAGGCTGAAAAAGTCTGCCTCGGCTTATACTCGAGTCAATGTTATTTATTATCTTACTTTGTTATTGTTGTTGTTATTATTATTATTATTATTACATTTATCATTTTATTATTGTTATAAATTATTTATTATTGCTATAAATTATTATTATTGTTATAAATTATTATTATTATTACATTTATCCTTTTATTATTGTTATAAATTATTTATTATTGTTATAAATTATTATTATTGTTATAAATTATTATTTTTATCACACTTATCATTTTATTATTGTTATAAATTATTTATTATTGTTATAAATTATTATTTTTATTATTGTTATAAATTATTATTTTTATTATTGTTATAAATTATTAATTCCTCTTCCTATTTAATGTGGTCATATCAATATCATGACCTGGTTTGCCTTTAACCAATCTTTAACGGGATTCCAGTCTGTTGCTCTGATGGGTGTGTTTCGTGCACAAGCCAAAATGTATATTAGGTGGTCCATGTTCATAATGTCCAGTACCTTTTCCATCCATTCTTCCTTTGTTGGTATTTTGTTTTGTCTCCATACTCTCCCCAGAAGGATGTGGGCAGCTGTTATTAGATAAATAAATATCAAATAACAAGGTGAAAGCCTTCTGCAAAATAATACAGGAAGCAATACAGAAAATGCTGAAAAGTGACATCCCTTTCAAACCAGAATGTTATCTATTAGGACAAAGAAATGGGACAAGAACACAGATAAATTATTTATCGAATAGCATGTGTCTGTTTCAACCAATGGAATCCGCCTTTTTTGTTTCACTCTAAAGAATTGCCAAGAAAATGCTTTTAGAAGAGATCAAAGCCAATCTTTCCTCAGACGACGAGGCCTCTTCTGACGAAGACTCCGATGGTGGGAAGGAGAAGAAGAAGAAAGGACGGAAATCCACAGCGACCGAGGAACAGGGTGAGCACATTCTCTGTGAATCGATGATGAAGTCAGGGTATGTGTTGGGGTTCAACCTCCGTGTGAACCTGACCCTGATTCTTTGATTGTATTTCCTGATGCAACTGAACAGGCTGCTGAACATGTATTTTTCCCTGATGGTTTGGAAACTGTTGATTCTGAAGGCAGTGGCTGGGAAAGTGAAACTAAACATCCTGATGAGGATGTTTCAGAGTCAAGCGGTGATAACTCTCCAGAGGAGTTAACACCTACCTTTTTTAATGAGGATAGAAGAAGGCAGATTTGGGAAAACAGGAGTGAATCACAGAGTTTGCAAGGTCAAGTAGATTAACGCAGAAGGAGGCTTCCAAGCCTGGAGGCGTGTCCCGAAACAGTTTCTTTAGTTTAAAGTGTCTTTCCCCCGGGCTGTCTTGTTAGATCAAGCATCGTTTAGACCAGGGGTCCTCAAACTAAGGCCCGGGGGCCAGATACGGCCCTTCAAGGTCATTTACCCGGCCCTCGCTCAGGGTCAACCTAAGTCTGAAACGACTTGAAAGCAAACAGCAACAACAACAACAATCCTATCTCATCAGCCAAAAGTAGGCCCACACTTCCCATTGAAATACTAATAAATTTATATTTGTTTAAATTGTTCTTCATTTTAATTATTGTTTTGTTTTGAAGTGTTTTTTTGCACTACAAATAAGATATGAGCAGTATGCATAGGAATTCATTCATGTTTTTTCAAATTATAATCTGGCCCTCCAACAGTTTGAGGAACTGTGACCTGGCCCTCAGTTTACAAAGTTTGAGGACCCCTGGTTTAGACTGAGGCATCACCTTGGCTGAGTTCCCGTTTCCCATGGCCTGCGTTCCCAGAGGCTTCTAGTTTCCAAGTACGGTTAGTGAGATACTAACAGGTTCCAGGTTTTTATAGTGTCGCTTTTGGAATTTTGATCTAGTTCAGAGATATTCTTGACTGCTGAGTTTTACTGTGGCTTTTTGACTTTGCATTTTCCTCTATTTTGTAACCATTTTTTCATCAATAAAAAAGGATTGTTTTTCCCACAGTCACGTGTGGTGGATTTAATCTTATGGTCTTGTTTCCTGATCTGGGTTGTAACAGTCTGCCATAAACGCATTTCCAAGGTCCTCCAGCATGACCTTTTTGTGTTGGGCTTCCAAAAAAAGTTGGCCAGAGAATTTATTTATTTATTTATTTGCAGCTTTTCTATTCCGCCCTTCTCCTCACCCCGCAGGGGACTCAGGGTGGATTACAGTGTGCACATATATGGCAAACATTCAATGCCAATTTTTGACATACAAACATATACAGACATACACAGAGGCTATTTAACTTTTTCTGGCCGCCAGGGGAGCTGTCGCTTTCATCGTCCGTCTGCGACGCTGATGAAGCACTTCCGCATTCCCCGCATGCTTCCCCGCTGGAATGCTTTGCCGGAGTCTTCTGACTCCAGCAAATCCTACTGGGGGTCCTGTTGATGCCACGATGATGGTGATACAGGTGAAATTAACTTACATGTCCTTTTTTCCTTTTCTGACAGAAGAGAATGATGATGATGAGGATGATGATGACCTTGACTCGGATTCGGAGGTTGAAGAAGCCAAGAAGCCGAGGTACAGGCACCGCTTGCTGAGGCACAAGCTGACCATGAGCGACGGAGACTCCGAGGAAGAAGATCCAAAGGGGGGCAAGTCTAAAGAGGCCAAAGATGGAAAGCGAAGAAATCGGAGGAAAGGTACGGAAGCTATGCGTGTGTTTCATGCGAGCACCAATGAGGCTCTTGAGGCAGCCATGTTGCATCTGATGAGATTTTTAAAATTTTAACTTTTGAAACTGGCCCTGCCCATTGTGCTCATTTTTCGTGTTGAGTTGTTGTGATTTTATATTATTGCGCTGTTTATTTACCGTATATACTCGAATATAAGCCGACCCGAATATAAGCGAAGGCACTTAATTTTATCACAAAAAACTGGGAAAATGTATTGAGTTGAGTATAAGCTGAGGATATAGTATAGGCCCAGTCTGGTGACCTGGAAAATAAAGTAATGAGAAAGTGTTGGTTTCTAATATATGCAATGCCTTTATGCTTGTGGGGAAACAGTATTTCTTGCTCTTTCTTTGTCAGTGTTGATGTGGAGAGTGTCTGGTTTGTCTAATCTGGAACATGCAAGATATAATTGTCCTTCTTTAGGGGTCCCTTTCAAATCTATGATACCATATCTGTGTGTGTGAATCATATCTATCTATATCTATGGCTGGATGGTTCTTTGTCAGGAGGGCTTTGATTATGTTTTCTTGCCCTGGTGAAGGGAGTTGGACTGGATGGCCTTGAGTTTAGAGGTTCTGTGTGGGAACTTTGCACCAATTCTGTCGTTGGTGAGGTTCAGAATGCTCTTTGATTGTAGGTGAACTATAAACCCAGCAACTACAACTCCCAATTTTCAAGGTCTATTTCCCCCAAACTCCATCTGTGTTCATATTTGGGTATTTGGAGTATATTCGTGCCATATTTGGTCCAGATCCATCATTGTTTGAGTCCATGGTAGTCTCTGGATGGAGGTGAACTACAACTCCCAAACTTAAGGTCATAGAATCATAGAATCAAAGAGTTGGAAGAGACCTGGTGGGCCATCCAGTCCAACCCCATTCTGCCAAGAAGCAGGAATATTGCCTTCAAATCACCCCTGACAGACGGCCATCCAGCCTCTGTTTAAAAGCTTCCAAAGAAGGAGCCTCCACCACACTCCGGGGCAGAGAGTTCCACTGCTGAACGGCTCTCACAGTCAGGAAGTTCTTCCTCGTGTTCAGATGGAATCTCCTCTCTTGTAGTTTGAAGGTCAATGCTCACCAAACCCTTCTAGTGTTTTCTGTTGGTCGTCGGAGTCCTGTATGCCTGGTTCAGTTCTATCATGCTCTTTGATTGTTGGTGAACTATAAATCCCAGCAACTACAACTCCCAAAAGACATAATCAATTTTTTTGAGTGAAGGACATAGATTGGGTTGTTAGGTGTCTTGTGTCCAAATTTGGCATCAATTCGTACAGTGGTTTATGAGTTCTGTTAATCCCACAAACGAGCATTACATTTTTATTTATATAGATTTCTGTTTTGTTTCCTCTTCAAGTGAGCAGCGAGGAGTCTGATAATTCAGAAGGGAGCGAATCTGGGGTCAGTGAAGAAGTCACTGATTCGGAGGACGATCAGCGCCCGCGAACCAGGTACCGGAGGCACAATTCCTTTGAAATACAAACATACACAATTTAAGTACAGTTAACAGTGAAATGGGCATTATCTAAATGCCTCTGTTGTAGGGAAAGTGAAGCAACCCCTGTGCTGCAAAATCCCAAAAGACTTGTCTTCTAGTGAGTCTACTAGATGTACCCGCCACGCGTTGCTGTGGCCAACCTTCCCTCCCTCTTTCTCTCCTTCTTTCCCTCTTTCCTTCCTTTCTTCTTTTTTTCCCCCTATCTCTCATCTTTCTTCCACCTCTACCTGTTTCTTTCCTCCCTTTCTTTGCTCTTTGGTTACAACCTTCCTTCCTTCCCTATCTTTTGTTCCTTCTCTCCCTTCCCTCTCTTTTTCCTTTCCCTTTTTTATTTCCTTCTCTCCTTTCTTGCTTCTCTTTCTTTCTTTCTTTCTTTCTTTCTTTCTTTCTTTCCTTCTTTCCCTCCCTGCTTCTCTCCTTCCTTCCTTCCCTTTTTCCCTCCTCTCGTTACTTCTTGACTGTCCCTTCCATTTAATATTGTATTTATCTCTTAGAAAGAAGGAAAGGAAGAAGGAAGGAAGGAGGGACAGGAAGGAAGGAAAAGAAAGGGGAGGAAGGAGGGGATGAGGAAAGGAGGGAGGGAAGGAAATGAAGGGGAAGGAAATGAAGAATGGGAAAGAAGGAGGAAAGGGAGGGAGGGATGAAAAGAAGGAAAGGAAGGAGGGACAGGAAGGAAGGAAAAAAGGAGGGGGGAAGAAGGGAAGGAAGGGGGAAAAAGGAGGGACAGGAAGGAAGGAAGGAAGGAGGGATAGGAAGGAGGGAAGAGAAGGGGGGAAGGAGGGAGGGAAAGAAGGAGGGGGATGAAGAAAGGAAGGAGGGAAGGAAATGAAGGGGGAGGAAAATGAAGAAAGGGAAAGGAGGAAAGGAGGAGAAGAAGGAAAGGAAGAAGGAAGAGGGACAGGAAAAGAAAAAGGGGAGGGAGGAGGGAGGGAGGAGGAAGGAAGGAGGGGAAGAAAGGAGGAGGGAAAGAAGAAGGAAGGGAAGAAGGATGAAAGGGAGGAGGAGGAAAAGAAGGAAGGAAGGAGGAAGGAAGGAAAGGGAGGAAAGAAGGGAAGGGAGGGAGAGAAGGAAGGTCCTTCATTTAAGCACCGTGGACCTGACCACTACCCCACTGGCCATGGCCCAAACATGCTGGCTGACCTACATTACCAGCTGCACATATTATTTAACATCGTAACGTTTTTCTTTAATGCACACTTGATCCTGCTACGACTTACTGTAACAAGTTTTAGGTAGGGAGTGTTGTGCCACCAGAAAGCTCTAACCTACTGCCCTGTCCCTTTAAGGATCTTGGAGGGAGGAGGGGGGTGCTTCCCCTTCCCCTTTCTGAATGAAGGGGAGCCATGCCGTGAGTTTGTCAGAGTTTGGGGGCGCACAGCAGAAGGATTGCTAGATCAGCTGTCGTGACCCAGAGCCCAAAGATTGTCCAACACAGCTAGTAATGGGTAACAGAGTCTTTAATAGGTCTTTAACAAAGCTAATAGCACTCAAACTGCAGTACTGATTAGCAACACAAAAGCCTTCAAGCAGGTAAACAAAAGGGAGGAAAAGCCGGGCTTTCCCAGAACTCAGTCACTCAGAGAAGGAAAGCTGGAACAAAACTGGCAAACTGCGTAGTCAAACGGTCCTGGATCATACACGGAATAAGGCAGCAAGAAGAGTCCAAAAGGCAGATGGCGTGGTCAAGAAACGTTCTGACATCAAGGGCAAGGTGAAGTCACTTACGTAGTCCAATCCAGAGTCAAGGCACACGATAACACGATAGCTGTATTCCCAGGACCCAACTGAAGGTAAGGCAGCACAAAACACCCGATACAACGCTTTGTCCTCTGCGAAACTACCGATCCCAAAACCCTCATTTTATTAGCAGTCGCTATCGCTAGATTGACTATCATCACTTACATCTGGATCATTATCTTCAGCTGCTGGCTCATTACCTCGCCGGCGCTGCCAGCGTTGATCTTGTCCAGAATCCTCCCAAGAAGTACCTGCCTGCCAAGTATCATGAAACCCCTCAAATTCATCGCTAGATGTTGGCTGTGTACATATGTCCTGAATTTCCCTAACCCGAGTCCAATCCAGCTCCTCTTCCATTTCCCCATCACTGGATCCCTGTTCATCCGAACTGTAATTATCGGCTATGTCTTTAAGCCGTTTGCTCATTAACTTCTCATCACTGTCAGTCTCACTGGCAAAGCGTTTTACTCCCCTGTAGTCCCCTACTTCTATTTCTTCGGGTCCAAACCCTGCAAAATCATCAGAATCACTGGGTGCCATAATAACATCCTTAATGCGTTTCAGCTGACGCTGCTCCTCCTCCAACTGTGCATCACTCCTCCTCCTAATAGTAGCTTCACTATTAGGACGCTGAGTTACAACATCAGCAGATACTGTGTTGTAAAATAAGGTCTCTGCAGGCTTTCAGTTACAAAAGAAACTAAGTTTTACTAAGTACATTCAGACACGTCTTGCTACAGCGAGCTACAATCAGGAACTAGTCAAAACCGAAAGTCTCTGCACATCTGCTTATCTCTCTTCTTGCTGAGACAGACGACTCCCTTCTTTTCCCAGCAAGAGCAAACATTATCTCACTTCTCTCAAGGTTACATTATCACAGCCTCATGGACTAAACATTCTACACAGCATTTCAATACACAGTGGAATCCATATTGGAAATACATAGAAGCACATTTAAAACACACATATAACTAAATTGACAGAGTTTACATTAGGCACCTCACTTACCAGGCCCACGAGCGAGACATGGGGCAGTGTAGAGGCCCAGCCATCTTGCCTTGAAACACCCAAAGAGGCCAATTCAGAACTCAGAATCATCAGGGAAAGTGTGGAGGCCGTCTCTTCCGTCAAG